TAATTCGCGTATGATTTTAGATACAATCCCACTATCACACCGCCTTTCGGCGATAAAGGAATTCGACGATTCTGATACGCACAAGGTGCTCGGTTTATGTTAGTCACCAGAGTCCAACGTGTTTAGCCTTAAGGTAAACCCGAACGCAGAAACGTGCACAAAGCGCAAAATGCTGTCATGCGTTGCTAGATTATGGGATGTCATGGGTTTCGTAGCCCCGGTGGTGTCATACGCTAAGCTTTTGATTAAACAACTTTGGTTATGTGAATGCGATTGGGATGACCCGCCGCCTGACAGCATTGTTCGGTTGTGGCTGCGTTTTAGAGAGGAACTTCCTTTACTAACCGAAATTAAAATGCCACGTCATATAAACGTCGATACAAATAGCGTCATCACTGTCGTTGGGTTTGCAGACGCTAGCGAGAAGACTTACGGGGGCGTTGTATATTTTCACGTCCAGAATAATGGTAGAAATTCGATCAGCCTCATTAGCTCTAAGTCAAGAGTCTCCCCCCGTAAGGTTGTCTAAAGAGTCATTTATACCGAGTAATAGGAGATCAAATTTTGTCCTTCGAAGAGTTAAGTACTGTGCTCGCTCAAATTGAGTGCGTCATGAATATACGCCCCCTTTGTCGTACGTAGTCAAGTGATGCCTCAGAGCCGCTGGCTCTAACTCCAGCACATTTTTGAATTTAACGCCTTTGAAGTATCTGCCCGCCGTAGATATGGACGAAAACAAACTTAGTATTTCCGCACGCCATAAATTATTGGACCGGTTGGTGCAGTCGTTTTGGAAACGATGGAAAATAGAATACTTGCATACGTTGCAGTCTCGGCAAAAATGGAACACAACAACTGAACCTTTAACTGTAGGAACTGTGGTTGTACTCACCAAGGAGAATACGCCGCCTCTCCATTGGTCCTTAGGGATCGTCGAAGAAGTTTTTCCCGGTTCCAACAGGGTAACTAGGGTACCTCGCGTTAAAACCTTGACTGGGTCTTACATGCGCCCTGTTGTCCGTTTGTGCCCTTTGCCCATTCAATAATTGGATTAGTTTTCTAGATTAGAAATTGTAGTCGAAATTTAGGTTTAATCTTAGCGTTAGTTATTTTGTTACTTTAATCTTAGCGTTAGTTGTTTTAGTTATTTTGAAAGGGACCCTTCAAGCCGGGGGCATGGTTGCGCGGAAAACGACTCGTATTTTAATTTTATTCGAAGGTATGCTTGCCAAGCGTTTGTCTTTTCCTTGACCTATCGTCCCTCCGTACACACCGGAGTGGGGGGGTGAGAGGGGAAAGAAGAGATTCTAGAATGTTGCGTGATTCTTGCAACCAATGAGAAGAGCGCCCAACTTCGGTGGGAAAAAAACCGATATAAGCTCGCGCGCTGCGCTCGAGCGCTCTCTTGCCTTTGCGCCGCTAGTTGGAACCGCACCGCCTGGGACAGTTGCGTCCTAGAGGGCTCTCTTGCCCACGCGCCACTCGTTCGAACCGCACCAACCTGGAGCAGTCGCGCTCCAGGAGTAACCGCCTCACCTAGTGTAAGATATCGTCGCGCACCGCTCTCTTCCTTCGCACAACTGGACTGGATAGCATCTCTGGGGCCCCGGAGAAACTCACCCAACGCCGCATCACCGCAACGAAAGCGTCATCACCCGCAACGGAGTCGCACCCCGGTAAGTGGTTTTATTTCCTTTTAAATTAGATTCCTGCTTGAGCCCCTTTGTTTGTTAGTTAAGCCGCCCCTATTTCATTTCTCCTAATGAGCTCAAGTAGGATTCCTTCATAACCTTGGCAAGCCATAGATTTCGGAAGAGCGAGTGCATTGTCAAGGAACCGCGTGCCACATCCGCCATCTTGTTGAAGCATGAGAAGCTTCCAGCGTATACGGTCCATCTAGTGTAACATCTCGCGTAATAGGGTCCGGGCTCGACCGGGGAATCGGAAATCGGCAACCCTAAGGCCCGCCGCCCAACCACTTAGCGTTAGTTATTTTGAAGGGGACCTTCAAGCCGGGGGGGGGATGGTTACGCGGAAACGATTCGTGTATTTTTAATTTTATTCGAGGGTATGTTTGCCAAGCGTTTATCCTTCCTTTGACCTATTGTCCCTCCGTACACACTGAAAGGGGGGGGTGAGAGGGAAAGAAGAGATTCTAGAAGGTGGCGTGATTCTTTCGACCAATGACAAGCGCGCCAGACCGAGATGCATTGGTGAGAAAGCCGAAGCAATATAAGCTCGCGCGCTGCCCTCGAGTGCGCACTTGCCTTCGCTCTCTTGCCACGCGCTCTTGCGTTTGCGCTCTTGCCCACGCGCTCTTGCCACGCGCTCTTACCTTCGCGCCGCTAGTCTAAACCGCATCTGGAGCAGTCGCGCTCCAGAAGTAACCGCCTCACAAAGTGTGAGATATCATCGCGCACACTAATGTGCTCAAGTAGGATTCCTTCATAACCTTGGCAAGCAATAGATTTCGGAAGAGCGAGTACATTGTCAAGGAACCGCGTGCCACATCCGCCATCTTGTTGAAGCATAAGAAGAATCCCGCGTATACAGTCCATCTAGTGTAACATATCGCGTAATAGGGTCAAGGCTCGACCGGGGAATCGTACTCGGGAACCCTTAGGCCCGCCGCCCAACCAAGCCTGTTTATTCCAAATGGAAATGGGATATTTTTTAATTAAAGGAAACTGAGCATAATTATCAGTCAGGGATGCAGACTTTTGAAAAGAAACTGAGCTAAATTGATTCGTCAGAGATGCAGTTTTCTTAATTGAAAGGAAACTGAGCCAAATAAAAGATCCGTCAGAGATGCAGCCTTTTGAGTTGAAAGGAAACTGAGCTTAATAGGCCCGTCAGAGGTGCAGATCCCGATTATCCGAACATCGATTATCAGAACATCCGATTATCTGGACTCATTCGTCACGGCTTTAAATGCCGATTTAAAAATGTTTTGATAGCGCAATTAGACATGTTACGACGAGTTTATTCCCGCCTCCGACGTATATTCTCGCTATCATTTGTTTGCGCGATAGTGTTTGTTATTGTTTCATTTCCTTTGATAGGGTTAAAATGATAGGTTGTCTTTTATTTTTATGCATCTAAAATGTTTAAACGAAAAAGAATTAGTTTTGCTAAAAGGAATAATTGAGAGTATAAAAAATGGTGAACTGGCAGGAAGTTAAAAAGTAAAGTAAAGTAAAGTTACAGCCTATATACGTCCCACTGCTGAGCACAGGCCTCCCCTCATTTATGAGAGGGTTTTAGGGCGGAGAAGTGTCCGCCGCGCTGCCCCAATGCGTGTTGGCGAACTTCACATGTCTTAGAAATATTTTTTATCTTATTCCTCAGACATGCAGGTTTCCTCACGATGTTTTCCTTCACCGCCGAGCACGTGGTAAAGCAGCACTTAAAATTGCAATTAACAATTTCATTGGTGCCGGCGGGGATCGAACCCGGGTTACTCGCGTTCTGTTATATTACAACGAGCGTTAACCATCTGAGCTACCACGGCTCTAGGAAATTAAAAGTAAAAGTTTAATATAATATGGTGTAGAAACTTCTACGATATCAGAAATTAAAAATAATTCTGATTCCATAATGAAATTCACCTGCGCGCTTGAGAAAGAAAATGGAAGCTCGCAACGTAAAGTCATGAAAATATTTCAAAATTAAATTCTTGTGAACGCAGTATTAACAGGTCTTTACAATAGAGAGCATACGGCCAGCCCATATCTGGACCTCTTTTATGTGAAAAAGCATTGAATTTTAATCAAAAGCTTGGGGGTGATATTTATTTCAAGGCAAGCTATGGATGGTTAGCAAGATTCAAATCCACACATGGAATTCGGGAAACTGGAGATTCAAAGAGAAAAACTGTGGGTTAACGTTGCTTCAGTCGATTTTTGTAGACGAGTTAAAAAACTTTCTAAGGGAAAAAGAATACGATTTGGATTTTGTATACAATGCGGACGAAACAGGTCTTAAATCGGAAAGCTTTACTAAGCAGATCATTAGTATCACGTCGTGAAAATGCAGCAGCGGGGCACAAAGTGTGCAAACGCTAAAGGAACACATTGATTGCCACTGCTACTTATTGGTAAATCAAAAAATCCACGCAGTTTCAATAATGTCAAAACTCCCTTAACTTACGCTCAGTGTTGCCAGATCTAGAGGTTTTTCCTCAATCTAGGGGTTTTTCGGAGGACGTTGAGGTTTTTTTAGAGGTTTTAATATCACGAACTTAATCTAGAGGTTTTTCTGAAGGTTTTTCACTAGTCTTACCGACTTTCGAATTCTTTTTCAAAACGGACAATGCCGACAATTCATTATCGATATAAAATTTATCCATATTCGCTTCATCTCTTTCTATACTTTTTTTAAACTATCGTTGCAAGAACGAGAAGCGACGAATATCAACGAGGGTTCGAACACGAATATCAAAATCGGTTCGTGGGCAGTTTTCCGTTTTGGGAGATCGTTCCACAGTTTGCGTTATGCGTTTCGGTTTCGTTTTCGTACGTTGGTTAGGTATTCTAATTTAAATAAATATATTTGTAATTTAAATGTTATGATAATAAGTTTTGTTAAACATACATTTAGTATGTTATTTTATATTTGACTTAGATACCTTTTAAAATATTCAGATAAAAATATCATTAAAATGTAATTGTGATATTTCATGTAATATTAAAATTTAAATATTGTTCTCGATATAATTTACCAATACAATCAATCTACCTAACCTACGGGTCATTCTACCTATTTTATTCTATGATAATAAAAAAAAACAACCGCACGAACACAGAGTAGCGCACACTTTTTGTTTGAGATAGCTGTTCTAGTACGTAAGGACATATACTTCAATAGTGAAAACTAAAGAGAATTCATTTATATTGTAGGAAATAGTAATGGCCTTCAGTGAAGTTTGTAGAATTTGTTTAAGAGATAATGTACGCACGATTGTACTAAAGGAGACTGTCCTCCAGAATTTGTACAGAGCATTGACGAACAATTGGGTAAGTTTGTTATAATATTTGCAATAATATGCAAATTTAATTATGGTAATTTGTTTTTATCGCTGGAGAAGTAGATTGTAACTAGCCTGGTTTACAATATCTAAAGATCGGGCCTAGGCTACCGTGCAGCGTTATATAAAGTGACAAATACAACCATAACCTGAAGAACAAAAACTTGCTTGGAACTCGCACTAAAGACAGTATTATCATTGAAGTAATATACTTCTACATTCTAGAAGAGACGCCGAGACTTAGTTGCTGAAACCGCGTGTTAGAGCTCGCGGGCTTAAACTTACTGAGTTGTGCTATAAAAAGGTATCCGATGCCTCCTTCCACGCGACTTGCACTGCTGCATAGATTTTGTGGGTTAGATTTACAATCGTTTGGCAGGGATTTCAGGGAGTAAGTTGTTGTATTTGTCAGAGTAAGAGAAGTTAGGGAGTAAGTTGTATTTGTTAGAGGTTTGGTCCCCATTGGTTAATAACAATACTACTTGCCTATTATAACCCATAAATAAATAAAACATGGAAAAGCTAATGCAGTATTATTGTGAAAGCTGGATAGTCTACATAATTTTGTGTTAAAGCCACTAGGATACACGACCACCCTAAAGACTAGAGTCACATTATTATACTTCTAAGGTAGACTTTTTCTTCTGTGGTTTGTACTCTCTTAATAAATTATGTTTACATAAAATAAAAAAGTGATTATTATATATTTTTCACCCAGAAATCCTTTCAGTTGGGTTAGGTTAGAAGGTTGTGGCAGGAGCAAAGTGCAGCGTGGCTTCGTGATTTTTTTACCACCCAGAAATACTTAAACACCACAGAAATCCTTTCAGTTGTATTAGTTTAGCAGTCATGTATGGTGTTATTACTTTTTCATGGGACTACAAGGGCATAGGGGATACTCCCCTCTCCCTCATCCCTTCCTCCCCACTTTTGCCCAACAAGTAATAATTTTTACCGATTTTGTTTGTTATGTCTGTTCTAGTACATATTACTTCAATGAGTATTATTGCGATTTTCTATCAATAATTTAACATCCACTCTAGTTTGGTGTTTCACCCACTCAAAGCCATTCTATTGGACTATTAATGTGGGATAATAGAGTACATATGTACTTATTAGCAAATAGTGTGAAAGTTAGCAGAAAGTTTACCGTAGACTACCCTCCTAGCCTCAGCCGACCATGTCCCATGGCAATCTAGTTAATACTGTTAGCAACGCAGTTTGAAAGTTCACATGTGCATCTTTGAAACTCATTTAGTGGAGGTGAGGCGTTGTTTTGGTCCGCAGAGGTGCCAACACAAATGCATTTTGACTCTTAATTGGGGACAAAAGTAGATTTTTATGGGCCACAACATTCACTTACCGAACTGTGTACTTGGTTGTCACCCTTATTGTATAACAAAAAATTTGCAGGCCAGCAGTTGAAACAACTGATATAAGCCTGTATCCTTGTTTCAAATCTCTAGTTATTCTATTATATTTGTTTATCAAATCCGTTCTAAAATTGGCTTATGGTTTGTTCTAATATCACTTTTGTTGGCAACTTGTTTCATACTTCAACCACTCTGGCTAAAATAGGTGAGTTCTTAGGTGACACGGCTTTTGTCAATTAGAAGTGATGCCTCTAAGAAGTGTTTTTTCAGTACTGGAATAATAGTCAAAATTTTCTAGACATAGTGTCTATGAATTATTATACTAATGGACAGTGGTCTAATAGTTTGACTATTGTTGTAAATTACTCCTAGCACAAGCATTTTCAGTTTACTGAGAGCAAATAAAAGAAGTATTTGTGATGTTATATTGATGCTAATAATTTAAAGTTTGAAAATGAGTTTAGCAGGATTGAAATTTGAAATCCCGGACTTCAAAATACCTATGTCAGGTTTCCAAGAGTCTGAATCTACTGCTTTTAAAATTATATCAGTTAATGTCAGGGAGACTTTTACATACTTGATGCTCACAACATCAATTTATTAGAGAATTGTGTCCATATAGCTTGCAGAACTCACAATAGCTGGGGAAACATAATTCTCGAGCCTCATACTGGTTAGCAAATTGTAGAGTGGCCCCCACTAGATAGTGGCAATCTGGTAAGACAGGAAGGTGGAGTCTGTCTGGGTAGATATCATGCTCTTGACTATTTTTACTACCAAGCAGCAGTATGTGTCCCAATCTGAAGGACACTGAGAGCCAGTATAAGAGGCTGTAAAGCATTACATCTTAGTCCTCAGAGCTAACATCACATCGGTAGCCTTTGCTTGAAGTTTGTTGCAGGTGCCCATGGGCTGCAGTAGCCACTTACCATCCGATGGATTGTAAGTTTGTTTGTCACTTCAATATTATAAAATGATGTTGATGCCGAGAATTCTGGTAGCCAATAGATTTTTTCCATATTTATTACAAACTTTGATATTTTCAGATGGACGAGGATGAGAGGCCTATAATTGTTTGTTTCATTTGTCATGCAAGACTTAATCGTTGCAGAAGATTACAACAACAGGCTATTGCGTCAAATGCAGTTGTGGAGCAGTTGCTTGCAGGAGGGTCCACGGTATTATCCATTTCATTCATTACAACCTATAAAAGTCCACTGCTGTGCATAGGCCTCCCTCTTAGGTTGCTTTATTTTTAGGGGATTTTGCGAAATTTACCAACTTTGGCAGGTTGGCAACAGCAACAATACTCTTGTTTCTGTTTCCCTGTGTTAAGAGGGGCTTAAGACAACCGTCCCATGCATAGGTGTATAGGGTAGTGGATATTCTTACACCCCCACTACACGGCCCACGGTATTATACCTATTAATAAAAGTTCCCTGCTTGATGGGTCATTCCCTTTAAAATGAAGTATATCCCTTATCATCACTTGGCAGGCACCTTGAAGATCACCACCTATCACGCGCCTTCTATGCTGCTTCCCACTGTCATATGGGAGAATGTTTTTTCTACTGCAAACTTAGTTTGTCCTTCAATCTAACTTACTTTTTCATTATTCTATATTTTATGATTTTTAGTAAGTTACACTCTACATTCACAAAAATAATTGACGAACTGCTTATGAGTAAATACCTATTACTCTATTGCATATAAACGAAATATCATCTATAAGTATTATTACTCAATAAACAAATATAGATCTTTGTCAATTTATGGCATTCGTGAATCTGTTTCGAAAAATTGTCGAGACTTTATTCTTGGGATGGAGAAACTTTCTACATTATTATTTATGTTTATTCGGAACCCATACTTGTCTAAAGTGTCAATAATTAAAGTAAATTAAAGTTGTAAGTAAGATGCTGCCACCCATCGCCTATTTCAGTTTCCCTCTGTCCCTTTTTACGACATGTGTGGAATGGTATATTTATATTAGTATGGATTATCCTACACTGACATTTTTCTCTCGTTTAATAAAAGAATTTGTTTTCAGTCAACACCACTACCGCACGAGGTCAGAGATGAGATGAGCTTCACACCAATTCATCATATAGATATCTGGCCAGTAGAGTGTGATATAGAAAATGATTGTACAGATGAAATTTTTAGCCTTGATTCCATTAAAGTTGAGGACGAGAATTTCGAAATTGAGTATTCCAAATTTGAAGAAAATGGGAATCATAAAACAGGTAACATATACACATTCTGTGATATTATAAAAATAAGGTACAGTTTACCTAATGGCAAGTGGTTACTGTAGCCCATGGACACAAAATAAAGAGTGATTTATGTGCAATATACTGATTTGTCTTTGCCTAAATTGCAAGTTTTTTTATAGTATAAGGGTGATAAACAAGCACACAGTTGGTAAGTGGTTGCTGTGGCCCATAGACATCTACACCTATCCTCAATTACGAATCAAAATGTAGATCAGTTGTCACCTGTCAGGACTAAGATGGAATGCCTCATTTCTAGTAAAATGGGTCACTGGTTCTCTACACTCACCATACAAAACACAGCAGCGTTGAACTGCTATTTTACACTGGTATATTGTGAGAGTGTGGTCCTTCCCCGGTCTAGCTGACCCATTTTTGCTACAACTATACTACTGATATAGCTCCAGCATGGCTCTACCACATAAAAAGCATGTGTTAAGAACGAAAATTACAAATTAAATAATTATTTAAGAGATGAGCATTCATGGACGTCATAATAAACTTCTTTAGACATTTTCTTTTAATTATGTATAAATAATTTGACCCTGTATAAATGTAGCCAGTATGTGTGTCACTAAAATGTATTAATTTCATAAGAATCTGCCAATTTCTTAGTGTCATTACTAGGTGCTGGGACCTCATTTTTGCCTAGGAGTTGATCTATTTGTACCCATATGGAGTCCTGCCTCCTCTTATAAATAGCAGTGCATACATTGCTGTATTCCAGTCTGAAGGGTATAGAGAGCCAATATAATAATTACAGGCTGTGAGACATTCCATCTTAGTCCTCAAGGGTGACGATACATCTGCACTTTGACTCTTAAACAAGAATTCATATAGATGTCTGAGGGACACACCTTCCACTTGCCATCAGGTGAACTGTGCTCATTTGTCACCCTTATTCTATAAAATAAACATACAGAAATATTATTTGGACAAACATCCAGACCCGCAGAGCTATAGCCGCTGTGTCACTAAGCTGTCAGTCTTTGTATTCTTGTATCTTTGAAAAAAAAAACAATCTTCTGTAATTAACAGGACAGGTTGACTTGAAAGACAATAACAAAGGACTGGCTCCTTATGTGAGTCGACTTTCGAACCTTCGTATGACTTAAGTTCTTTGGCCACATTGGATTTTTAGCGATGGGCGATTGTTGCAAAAAAAAAAAAACAATCGACTGAATCTAAGATTGTGCTATTGCGCATTCGACTGTCGATTTAGTAGTTCCTCACCATGATTATTCGAATAGCAATCGACACACTACTAACTGTACGCGCACTGTAATTCGCCGTTATGTAATGCACGATCCGAGCGCGTTTTTTCTTTGCAGGTACCTTAACTAGGAAACTAAAGACGTAACAGACTGGCGCCAAAAAGCTAGATGAAATAACATTTTAAATAAAAATTTTGACCTAATTTAGGATTGTTTCGTTAAGATTATAATTCTTATTTTATTTTAAAGTGCTCAATATGCTTAATTTAGATTTTTAGTGCCATTAACGATAAACAAATTATTTAATATAAATACGTATATTTTTATATTTCCTATTGGCGTCAATCGCATACCTAATAACTGCAGATGTAACGTAAGTAATGGCGCACAGACTTAACGCAGCGCACGCCCGCCGCGCCATCTATAGTAACTACTTATTTAATAGTACATATAATAGGTGCGCTACAAATTAGTAGTTAATGTTAACACTATGGAGTGCAGAAGTAAGGAGTACAGACTGTGTATTAAAAAGTGTCCTTTAAACCTTTAAATAAGGTGGCGCCACTATATAGCTACGGGGTAAATTTTAAAGAACGCACCGAAAAATATTTGTGGGATAGACGACTTTATCGAGGTTATATTTACTAAATAAAATTATTTTAGATTTTAGAGCTACTGAGCAGTTTAGCAGCACACTTCAAACCGACGAAACTGCTAAGTGTTATTTCATCCCAGTAGCTACTCCAGCGCTGTTGTGGAGAGATTTTGAACTGTTATTTACTGCTTACAGATGACCACTTTTTCTACTATTCTACTATGGGAGTTGGTACTCCTTACTTTTACACTCCATAGTTAACACGGTAATCGTGTCAGTTAATGTCGTCCGCCGCACGCTGTTAGTCGATAATAGTCGACTAATATGGATTGTTTATTCGAATTTAATCGACTAAACTGAACAATCGACTAATTTGATTAGTTTTAGTAATAATCGTTCATCGCTACCAAGGATGTATACATTTATCCTTAATTAAGAATCCAAAAATGCAGATCCCCGAGGACTAAGATGGAATGCCTCGTACAGGGTTCTCCAATTCTCTACACTCACCATACGAAACACAGCAGCATTAAATTAATAATCTATGAGAGTGTGGTCCCTTCCCGGTCGAGCCGATCCATTTGTTCTACAACCATATATATAGCTGCAGCTATATACATATATACAATAAATCTGGCAAGTGCGTTTGCGTTGCTATTCGATATGAAATATGTAAGCCATGTTTTAGACTTCATAACGTAAACATCTAACAGATGTGTTGTCAATTAATAGTGCACACAGGTCCAACGCAATTTGAATATTAATCGAGGATAGATGTAGATGTCTATGGGCACAGCATTCACTTACTATCAGGTAAACTGTGTGCTCGTTTGTCATCCTTATTTTATTAAAAAGTGTCGCAAAGATACAGAATGGACAACTATTTCGGTACGCCGTATCCCTGTTTTACTTATATTTTATTAGAATAATAAAAGATAAATGTCTGAGACATGGGTCCCTCCCATTGTGGGGAGGATTAGCCTTAATTTTCCTACTTGGTGAAAAGGATTGACGATCGCAGTACCAGAAATATTGCATTTATGACCATATGACGCTGGTCTGGATATTTTACCTTGGCGTAAATAAGATGGTAAGGAATAAAATCCGCCCAATGTAAACAGTTTCTGGTGTGTTACATTAAAGATGCAATGCCTTACAATAAATTAAATGTTTAATTCGTGTGTATTTCAGAACAGTACAGTGAGAAAAATATAAAACCAAATTCTACTGAATATAACATAAACGATGTACGTAAAGAAAATCTCGATTTTGAAAGCTCCACTATTAAGTCAAACACTAAATTAAAAAAAGATAATCAACCAATTAATAAAAAAAGAAATCATCCCGCAAAGATTGTGAAAAACAAAATTTTGAAACGAAAAATTGAAAAAAAAATGTAAATATACTTAAAAAAACAAGATCAGGGGCATCAACAAAATACATTTTTGAATGTGATGGTTGTAGCAAAAAAATTTTCAACAAAAAAACATTCTCGCCAAGCACATATCATACAGTCATAAGACACAAAAGAACTTGGACACCACTGCAGTTCGGACTCAAGTTGAACAAACTCCAGTACCACATCTAAAATTCACGTCGCTAAAAAAGTGTACTGTTGTAATGATTGTGGTTATAAATGCACAATAAAAAGCAGTTTGATATACCATATTATGAAAATACATACTGGAGTAAAACCTTTTTCTTGTAATATCTGTGAATATAAATGTATTACAAAAAGTAATTTGAAAATACATATGAAAATACATACCAGAGAAAAACCTTTCGCGTGTAATATCTGTGAATATAAATGTACTATAAAATGTAACTTACGATATCATATTCTAAAATACGCCAGTGAAAAACTTTTTTCATGTCATGTCTGTGAATGTAAATGTTTAATTAAAACTGATTTGAAAAGGCACGTAAAAATACACACCGAAGAAAAACCTTTTTCCATGTATTCGAAAAACTGATTCGAGAAAACACATAATAATACACACAGGTGAAAAGCCTTTAACGTGTAATATTTGCAAATATAAATGTACTAAAAAAGTAGTATGCAAGAACATATGAATATACATACAGGAGAAAAACCTTTTTCGTGTCATATCTGTGAATACAAATGTAGAAAAAAAACTGTTTTGAGAAGACACATCAGAATTCATACCGGTGAAAAACCTCTTTCTTGTCATATATGTGAATTTAAATCTAAACAAAAAAATAATTTGAAAAGACACATGAAAATACACCACGGAGAAAAACCTTTTTCGTGTAATATCTGTGAATATAAATGTAGACAAAAATCTGTTGAAAAGACACATAAAAATTCACACCCGTGAAAAGCCCTTTTCGTGTAATATTTGTTAATTTAGATGTAATACAAAGAGTAATTTACAAAAGCATATGAAAATACACATTGTAGCAAAACCTTTTTCGTGAGCTGTTAAAATAAGTATGATATTATGTAAACGTGTTTTAAATAAATAATTATGAGTGTACCAAATAAAATACTTTTTTTATGAATTTCTTATGAAATTATAGTAGACAACTGCAGTTTTTTTATTTTTAGTTGCTATTAGGAAGATGCTGCTGCCTATCTCCCGGTTTATTTTCCTCAGCCGCCTCTTACAACATCCACGGGATGATGTGAGGCAGTGGAAATTCTGATACCGCCACTACACGGCAATTTTATTATTATTTCGATTTTACAATAACTAGTTTTCACACTGAAAACAAAATAATCAACAGAACAAAATTTGTATGAAACGAGCATGAAAATAATGCGCGCACGTGCTACCTGCTGCGTAACAACGTATTCTAGTAAGAAGACGTCGTAAATAAAATATTCAACATTTATCGGTATTTCGTGGTACGAGGGGCACACTAAAATGATCGGGAATATGAAAAACCACATGCACAGTATAGCTAAATTGTATTTTATTGTTTTTCGAAGTATTCTCCGTTCAACTTAATGCACTTTTCCATTCGTGCAAACCAATCATTAAAACAGTAATTCTAGTCTGAAATTGATGTTGACAAAATGGCTGATTTGTACGCTTCCACAGCTGTTCGAGGTCTTCAAACCGTTGACTGCGTTACAAATCTTTCATTCTAAGGAATGTAAAGAAATCGTGTGGGCTCAGGTCAGGACTGTACGGAGGATGGCTCATCAGCTCAACGTTTTCCTGCTTCAAAAAATCATTTGTCTTCCGAGCCGTATGGGAGCTCGCATTATCGTGATGTAAAAGAATGCGACGTTTCACGTTATTTTTTCGAGGTTCTGCTATCATTTCTGGCAAACAAACCGTGATATACCACTCAACGGTAACCGTTCTGCGTTCCTGTAAAGGAATTGTAGCAACATGCCCCTTTTCAAGACAAACCTAGTGACCATTTTCTTTGACACGCTGCGAGAGCGAACTACTTTCGTTGGTTTGACCTCGTCTTCGAAGACCCAAACTGCTGACTGATGTTTTCTTTCAGGTTCGTATGAATAAATCCATGATTAGTCACTTGAGACGATATTATAAACGGCATTTGACTTCCCTCCGTTGAAGCGTTGCAGAGTGTTCCGGCACCAATCTACACGAGCCGCCTTTTGCTCTTCGGACAAATTGTGGGGAACCCAGCGGGAAACTAGCTTTCTTACACACAGCTCATTATGTAATATCGACTGAATTACAGTCATTCCGATACTGATAACAGCCCGAATCTGCTCGTATGTCACATGACGGTCATTTAAAAATCAATTGCTGTCTGTTACTCTCGCTAAAACTTGCAACCGGCACGAACGACTTTGATGTTTTTTTTTGTATGCGTTTATGTGAGTCCCTGGATGATTTAGATTCAGTTGGACCCGGTAGGTGGCGCTTTTGTCGATATCCAGAAATCACCCTTGAAAAGCCGGGGCGAATCGCTATTCGATAGAAATGGGCAGATCGTGATGTGCCTGGGCATTTCACGATACGCCGCCATTTTATAATTTATCCGTTATAGCGCTTTGTGGTGGTTATCTGCCAAAATTTAAATAGCGACGTATCATGAAAACCCAGGCAGGTTTTGATCTGTCCAACTTTACGGTTAAAACGCTACGACATAGACCATTACAAAATAACGAGGCACTTTACAATTTGCCTTTAGATTTTCACAAGCCAGCGATCGTTTGCAAACAGACGACGCCATTAAATATACAATCGCCAACGGCATTTACGCATTCTTAAGTTTTTTTTATTATACTAGGCCTGCGGTTATCTACAATCCCGCCTGGTGATAAGTAGTGATGTAGCCTAAGATGGTGAAGCCCACGCGACTAAACAAATGTCTAGTCGAGTCGATGTTTCAAAATATAAGACGTGCGCCTTATAATGCCCATTTTTTGCAATATTGACGTAAATAAATAAAACTAAATAATTTATGAAAACAAATTATCACAATATTACTCATATATTTTTGTTTTCTTATTTGGATAATTTCGAGCTATAGACAGCATAAATAGCTGCTCCAATTATATGTTTGGCTCAAAATTTTTGAGATGTAAGGTTTCATGATTATTACTTGTATTAAATTTTTTTTAAAACGCGAAATTCGATATATTGGTACGAGGGGCACACTGAACTGAAATGATCGGAGATAGAATATTTCGGATTGAGTTACAATAAAACCTTTTTTTAGGATTTGAATACTAGCCTCTTATAATCTTAATGACATTCAAACAATTAAAAAAAATGTTTAAAAACATAAACTATGTTGGTTTAAAGTTGACACGTCGTTAACAGAAATGGGGCTCACGCGTGAACATTTCCGTGCCATAATTTATCACAATTTTCGTCGCTGCTTATCACAGGATAAATGTCTCAGCGAACTTGTTTCGATTTATGATGTTGAAGCACCGAGTCAAACGGCAATATACCGCTGGTATGCCGAGTTCCGACACGGTCGTGTGTCGCTCAGCACTTTTTCTTCTGCAGGTCGAGCAAGAACAGCGGTCACGCCTGAAAACATCGCAGGTGTGCGAACTATTATATTAGAATTAGATGACCGTCATGTGACATACGAGCAGATTCGGGCTATTATCAGTATCGGAATGACTGCAATTCAGTCGATATTACATAATGAGCTGTGTATATTGTTACGAGCTTGAGGTTCGTGACAATAAAAATTGCCGATAAAATTACCTAAATTAACACTTTAATTTACTTTACACAAATTAAAACTTAAAACACTAATAATTAAACACACTAATTCACTTTATTCCGCTCCGAAGCTTCGCTTGTCTTGCCAAATCCAATACTGCCCCGATCGCATCTTGCAGCGCCTTGAAAAGGAACCAAGGTTCGGGGGTCCTCTTGATCCGGCTGCGAATGATCAATTGAAAAGGACCAACGGGGATTAAACGTTCGATTAAGAAACAGAAGGGAGGAATCGAGGCTTCTCTCGATCCGGCCTCCTATAACGCCTACGTTGGGTTCGGGAACAACGTATGTGATCTCCGCAACGGAGTAACACACAAGGGCGATAACCTCTTCCTTTTCAGCGAGTAGGTTCAGACGGGGATTACGGGTCTTCCGAAGTCGTCCCGGTCCCAACGCCTTAATTCTTCGATGTGGACTGTATAATTTTGAGGGATTAATTACTTGGGAATAAAACAGCAATTATCTTCAAACCGTTCCGTGAGAGAGTAATCACTTTTTTCCCTATACTCTTCTTATTGACTGCTGGTTTTTCACTTTTCTCGAACTTTTTTCCCGAACGAATTGCAATAAAACTCATTTACTAAGCTACCCCAGAGCTACACGCGAAAGTGAACCGCGCCATTCGCGCGCTTGCGCAACTCAATTACATGAATTTGTTCCATTACTATCTCACGTTTTACTTAATTACTTTATTTGCATAAGTCATACATCAACATAATTTACCTGTATAGATAGCACAAAACAATATCTACACTACGATATACATTACATTTTTATATCACGAAAAACCTATTATTTATTTAACAAAATATGCCTATTTTACTCACAAGTTCAAAGTCGAAATTTCTTAAATATTTAACATAGAAAGTTAAAACAATGTTTTCCACTTGAAATTATACATATGTTAACTAATACAATAGTTTAATTTACATTTTCTCTATTTATTTCACTATTAAAACACTTTTAAATTTCTTATACAAAACTATCATTATTTCACTTATACACAGGAATTTTCACATAAAA